GCAACACTCACATCCCTTTTCTTTTTCCTGGTCAATGGTTATTTTGAAATCTCTATCTGGCAGCACCAAAGAGATTTTTAGCTTTGATGGGAAGTCAAGATATATGTTTGAGAGGATAATTAATAAGTGGAATAGTTAAATAGTACTGGAATTCAGAGAAGGGCACTGTCTCTTAGACATGGGACGATTAACCTCCCATGAGGGCTTTGGAGGTAGGTAGTGAAGCTTGAATTGAAGAAAGACTTAGAAAAGCAGAGAAGAAAGGAACCAGCCATTTCCAGTAGAGAAAAAGGAGAAAGCAAAGGCAGATAAGTGGAAATCTAGTGTCGCATTTGGGAAAGGTTGTACTGTTACCTGTAGGCCTAGACACTTTGTTGTACTGGAGTGATGCCATGGAAGACGGAAGAGGACCTACGAAGGAATCTTGGCTATCAGGCTAAGGAATTGGATTTATCATTTGAGCAGAGGGATGGCATGTGTAGAACAGTTTCAGAATAAATCTGGCTGTGGGTAGCTTCAAAGCCAGGCTCTGAGACATGAGAATGCCTGGACTACTGGGCCAGTGATTCAGTTTAGCAGATGTTTATGCAGCACCTCCCTGGTGGCAGTGGAAAGGGTCAGGAATGAATAAGTGAGAGCACTTGCCTGAGGAATCCAGACTTGTGCAAGTTCATATTGAAGGTTGTATAGACGAGAGAGGAGCAGGAGGGGAGACGGGGTGAGTCAGGGCCCCTCATTCCCCCACCCCCACTGGTTTTAGTGGTCGGCAAACTATGGCCCATAGACCAGATCCATCCAGATGCCTGTTTTTTGTAAAATGGGTTTGTTTGTTTTTTTACATTTTATTTATTTATTTGTTAATTATTTTATTTTCTTGATTTCAGAGAAGAAGGAAGAAGAGAGAGCTAGAAACGTCAATGATTAAAAAAAAAAAAAAAAAAATCATTGATCGGCTGCCTCCTGCACACCCCCAACGGGGATTGAGCCCACAACCCGGGCATATACCCTGACTGGGAATTGAACCTGTGACCACTTGGTTCCCGGGTTAACGCTCAACCTCTCAACTGCTGAGCCATACTGGCTGGATTGGATTTTATATTTTAAAATATCAAAATATAGCCGAAACCGGTTTGGCTCAGTGGATAGAGCGTCGGCCTGTGGACTGAAAGGTCCCAGGTTTAATTCTAGTCAAAGGCATATACCTTGGTTTCGGGCACATACCTAGGAGGGGGTGTGAGAGGTGACTGATTGATGATTCTCTCTCATCGATGTTTCTGACTCTCTATCACTCTCTCTTCCTCTCTGTAAAAAATCAAAAAAATATATGTTTTTTAAATATCAAAATACGAACAGTACGTCATGATGTATGAAAATGACATGAAATTCAAATTTCATTGTCATCGTGTTTTTGTAGCACAGCCTTGTCTATGTATTGCCTATGGCTCCTTCCACATAGAGAGCTGAGTTGAGTAGTTTTAACAGAGACTACGAGGCCCACAAAGCCCAAAATAGTTACTGTTTGTCTTTTGACAGAAACTTTGTCCACCCTTGAGTCACAGCCATCCTTATCTCATTCCTCTGTTCTCTGAAGCAGTCTCTCTTCCTACCTGAAGCTTTCCTTCTACCCAGGCCTTTAAATATTCTCTTTATGTTCCTCCCTAGATCCCAGCTTTACTCTCTTTAGGGATCTTTCCCCTCCCAGATATGCTCAAGACATGCCTTCCTTAGAAAACAAAAAACAAACACTTCTACTGCTGGTCTCCATCTCTAGTCTGTACCTCCACTGCACCTAGACCCCTGACCCCAGCAGTCCATTAAAACTAGTCTTGCTGAGTCATTAGTGAATTCCTAGCTACCAGATGCAGTAGTTTTCTCAGTCCTTATCTTCTTTGTTTTCGCCGACATTTAACATTTTGATCATTCTTTTCTTTCTTTTTTTAAAATTTAAATTCTTTATTGTTTAAAGTATTACATAAGTCTCCTTTCCCCCTGACTATTCCCTGACCACTCCCACCTCCCAGCACGTGCCCCCCTCCCCAATCTTTTTTCTTAGGGACCCTTTTTCTTTTGGCTTCTGTGACATTGTTCTCCTTTATTTCTCTTCCTATTTCCCCAGCCCTTCCTGCTCACCTTTCAATGGCTTCTTTTCTATACCATTACCTTAAACATTGGTGACTTTCACGGTCTAGCCTTTGTCCTCTTATAAGAGCTATTATTTTATTGAGTACCTACTGTATGACCATCACTATATTTAAATGCTTTATGCAAATTATACCAAATCCTTACAACAACACTAAAAAGATAGGTTTTGTTTCCTCCATGTTATAACTAAGGAAAGTGAGCTCAGTAAGCTCAAGTGATTTCCCCAAGGTTATACAGTTAGTAGCCGCAGGGGCTGGAATCTGAGCCTGCTGTAGTTTGCAGGTCAAGTGGGCTACTATCTGTGTACTGGACCTGTTTCTTAGCTTCTAGCTTACATGTCTGACTGGCTACTAGACATTTCCATCTGGAAGTCATGGCAGTGCTTCAACCCCAACTCCTCATCTCTCTCCCAGCCCCCATCCAGCTCCAGTTGGTAGTATGATCATCTCTTTGTCATCCGGGCATAATCCCGGGGGTAGATCTCGACTTTCCCTCTCCCTGACCTTTTTTGACCCAGTTGTCACTACAGCTGTCATTTCTCCCCCTTTAATGTCTAGAATTCATCTCTCTCCAGAACTGTTGTCTTCTTAATCTTTCCCTTCTACTCCAGTCTGTCTTCCACAGAATACCAGAATGCTCTCTCTCCTAAACCCCAGATCTGAATGTCTCGCTGTCTTGGTTAAAACCTGTTGTTGGCTCCCCATTGTCCTATTTCTCTACTCCATAGCTTACCTGAGGAGGCTTTGCCTTTTTCTCTCGAGTCTTCTCCTTCCTGTCTTCCAAATACTGCAAGGGTTTTTGTGGTTCACTGTACCAAAAAATGCATTCATTTCTCCATGCAGTTCCCAAGGTGTTAATTACCTCTTTCTGGAATGCCCTCCTGCCCAGTTGGTCTAAGGAAGGCCTTTTCAGTTTGTTCCTTAAAAACAGACTTTAACAGGCAAGCAAAAAGACACCTTCAGTTCAGAGAGAGTAGCTTGGTCTCTGAGCCTTCACCGATTTCCAGTCTTTCTGAGAGGGGTTAGTTTTCCCTTTTTTTATGCTCCCAAGCACCATGTGCCTGTTGTTAGGCTCAGCCTGGTGTATAATAACTTGTGCACATCTGCCTCCTTAAAATTGGCATTTCTTAAAAGTAGAAATTTTGGTCTTGCTTACTTTTTCTTATCTGTGATAGTTAGCTTGTTGGCTGGGACGTAGTAGTTCAGTAACTGCTGAATGAGTAACACCACTGTAGTTAGTAACACTAATATAAACTGAGGCTTTGGAGGAAGGATTAAAGGATGAAGATTGTACTAAAGCTGAAGAATAGACAGTACTGGCACCCTGAGAGGTATAGCATCAGAGAATTTACAGAGTATTTTCACAAATGTTTTATTGTCTTTTCTTCTACTCAAAAGCACTGAGGGATTAAGAAAGGGAGTGGACTGACAATTCTCAGGGGGAAAAGGGTGTGGGGAGTGTGAGAAGAGACTGGACAAAAATCGTACACCTATGGATGAGGACAGTGGCGGGAGGGCAGAGGGCAGGGTGGGAACCAGGTGGAGGGGAGTATGGGGCGGGGAAACAATTGTAATAATCCGAACAATAAAGATTTATAAATAAATAAAATCAGAAAAAGAAAAAGAAAAAAAAAAGCACTGTGAGACAGTCAGGGCAGGCATTAATATTCCCATTTTAGAAATAAGGAACCTGACACTCAGAGAAGTGAAATGAGGTGCTCAAAGTCTTGAACATAAGTGCCAGGATTCAGTCTTCTCCTGAATAAACCTCCATTTGGAGGTTAAAGGAAAGGAGTGGCTCAGAGAAGATAAAGAGAGCCCCAAGGAATTACTGTGTGCTGTAGGACAAATTTTCAGGAGAGGGCATCAGCATTGAGATCTTTTTGCAAATGAAGGGAAGTGGGGAAGGATAAAAGAGTTTGACCACCAGGAATTCAAGAGAATCCTTTCATAACAGCGAAGCCAGCTTGCCAAGTAGCAAGGAATAAGTGGGCACTGAGGGAAGTAAAGAAGGCACATGGGAAAACTCTTTCAAGGAGTTCGGTGGTAAAAGGAAATCCAGAGTCTAGCCGTTTGAGAAATGTCAGGATAGGCTCCGAGAAACTCAGGATACATTGTTTTCATTTTGTAGAATTGAAAATATATACAGTGGATATTTATAAATAAACTATGCTAGTATATACCTGCTAATATGCACATGACTGAGTATATAAAATTTAGGATGTTTTAGACTCAAATTTAACATTAGTCAGTTCTAATCAAGATATAGTGCCATAGGGCAGGATGTTTGACTTAAACTGAAGTAAAATTTTATTTGTTTGTTGTTTTGTTTTGTTAATCCTCATCCGAGGACAATTTTCCATCGATTTTTAGAGAGTGGAAGGGAGGAGGAGAGACACAGAAAGAAACACACGGATTGGTTGCCTCCTGAATGTGCTCTGACTAAGGCTGGGAATAAAGCCTTCAACCAAGGTACATGCCCTTAATTCAAATCAAACCCAGGACCCTTCATTCTGTGGGCTAATGCTCTATCCACTGAGCCAAACGGGCTAGGGCCAAATTTGAATATAGGTAACTGTAAGAGTGTATGTCTACCTTTAGAGGGTAGATGTATACTAAAGTCTGCAAACACCCTTCTTATAGTCACTTAGATAGTCACCTCTCTACAAGCTAGCTATTCCCCGTTACTCATTATTTTTGTCCAGGTTGATTGAATCAACAGGAAAATAGCCCTACTTTGTTGTTAGAGGCCGTTTTCTATGTTTCCGTGTCATCCACATCTCCTGGAGGCCAAGCTCAGGGGCAGCTAGAGCCTGGGCAGCTATTTGTCCTGTTGCTGAGGTGTCCTCTGTCTGCCAGGTAAAGCGGTACCAGTGCACCTTTGAGGGCTGTCCCCGCACCTACAGCACAGCAGGCAACCTGCGCACCCACCAGAAGACGCACCGAGGAGAGTACACCTTCGTCTGTAACCAGGAGGGCTGCGGCAAGGCCTTCCTCACCTCCTACAGCCTCAGGATCCACGTGCGAGTGCACACGAAGGAGAAGCCATTTGAGTGCGACGTGCAGGGCTGTGAGAAGGCATTCAACACGCTGTACAGGTCAGCCTTCCTCCCGCTGTGCCAACAGCTCTACCCTCGCTGTCACCATTGCACAGCAGAGTTCTCTTTCTGGGCTTTAAAGAGCTCAGCTCTGCTCAGCTGTTCATAGAAGATCTTGTTATTTGAAGGTTGACTGAAAATGATGGCACATTTGTGTTTAGATTTTGTTTCTCCTGTAGTGCCATCCTGGCCTGGGGATTTGAGTATTTGGCATGGAGTGCTATCTGCCTTGGCTCAGAACTTTGGTCCTAAGGCTTCTGTCATTTTCTTTCCTATCTCACTTTCAGAAAGATTACTTTCTGCCTAGCCTGAGAAATGGGAAGTGGTCCTCTCATTCACTACTTCCCTTTTCTACCATTGGTATCAGGAGACTTACTAGTCTTTAACATTGGGTGTAAAATAGCAAACATGGCAAGAGTTAACATTTCTGAGGCACTCACTGTGTGCGGGGCACTCATCTGAGTACTAACCCTCACAGCACTAATAAGTAAAGGGAAACCCAGCAAGGTAACTGGCTCAGGGTCCAGTAGGAGGTGGGACCAGGATTTGAGTCCCAGGCTCCAGAGTCATGCTCATACCACTATGCTCTATACTTCTCGTTGAGCAAAACATTTTGGAATACAGAATTCTGAAGTCCTTAATCCCTTTATTATTTTTTTTAACTATTTTTAAAACATTTTTAATCCTATCAAGGTTATACATTCTCAGTGTTTACAGAGTATCGATAGTTCTAATAAGTTCATTACAAAAGATGTACCTCCCCATTTCTCCCCCTTCCCAGCAACCACTTTCTACTCTTTTAGCTTAATATTAATATTTTCCTATCTATTTCCATGCTTTTAAATATTAGGCTCATATTGCTCCTTTTAAAAAATATATATATATTTTATTGATTTTTTTTTACAGAGATGAAGGGAGAGAAATAGAGAGCTAGAAACGTCGATGAGAGAGAAACATCAACCAGCTGCCTCTTGCACACCCCCTACTGGGGATGTGCCCGCAACCAACGTACATGCCCCTGACCGGAATCAAACCTGGGACCTTTCAGTCCGCAGACTGACGCTCTATCACTGAGCCAAACCGGTTTCGGCATATTACTCCTTGATTTTTCCACATTAGGATATTGATTTCCCATTATGGCGTTAAGGATTAAGTTCTATTTCCTCCCTTCTCCCCTGCCCCCATCTCCATCACACTTGGTCCTTCCCTAAAACCCATTCTCCCAATGTTATTATTCTATTTCCAGTATGTATTAATTTTTATTAAATCAGTATTCAGTATTTACTTAGCCGTAAATGAAATTACTTCTCTCATAAAAGATCTTACTTGCCAGTAGCTTATGCACTTGACCCTGAAGGCGGTTAAGCTGTGTGGGAGGCTCTGTAATACATTATGACAAAGGGCCTTTCTCTGGCTATCTTACAGGCTGAAAGCACATCAGAGGCTTCACACAGGGAAAACATTTAACTGTGAATCTGAAGGCTGCAGCAAGTACTTCACCACACTCAGCGATCTGAGGAAGCACATTCGAACCCATACAGGAGAAAAGCCATTTCGGTAGGTCTCACTGTTCTCTATTTGTCTCCTGTCAGGTTCCAGCTGGGTGTCTCGATGCACTCTGAAACTTTTTTATGGAAAGAAACTTCCCGTCACTAGTCCTTTGGCAGTGCTCGCTCTCCCCAGGATGGCTATGACCAGTACTGCCACGGGAGGGAGGATAATGAAGTCCAAGGGCACCCTCACTCTGGATGATGGCTTCCTGCCTCATTCTTCCTTTTATTTTGCAAAGCATTTGTTGCAGCTCACTTATGTGGTAGGATTTTTATTAGTGCTAGAGAAATACTGTGATAAAGGTTCTCCTCTTGAGAAATTCAGTCTGGTAACAAAGAACCACAGTCAACCAGACAGTTTCTGAGACTGAGATGCCCAGAGTGCTTTGGGCATAGGGGAAGGGATACTTACCTGAGAATCGGTGGGAAGAGTAGGAGACAATAGGGGAAAGGAGGAGTAGCACTACTTAGGCTAGTGGTGCAAGTATTTTATTTTTTTACTGGTTTAGTGGTTTCTTCAATATCTCCCATGTATACACAGATATATATATATATATATATATATATTTATTTATTTAAATTTATGTACTTATACATATATTTAATAGATAGAAGTATAGATGTTTAAGCTTAAAGGAAAGACTTGTATCATCTTCTGTGTTCATAGCATGTAGCATGGTTCTGGGCATTCAGTAGAAATTCAGAAACAACTTAGTGAGATAATCAGTTCATAAGGATTCCCACTAAATATAATACAGATGAAAATTGCACATAAACAATGGTTTTGACTTGTCTGGAAAGATTGCTGTTATTGTCATGGTATTGTTATTGTCATGTCATTCATACCTTTCCCTTCTTGAATCACTCATCTCCTCATTAGGATAGCAGGAAATTGAAAAGTCTTCAAGGACAGTCACCTCTTACACACCAATTAAAAGTAATTGTATTTTAAAATGACAGCTGCTTTTCTGAGTCAGGTCCCTCTAAAGCAAGAGTATTTAGATTCTCCTTGGTTACCCTCCAGATGCTATGACACTTAAGGTACCTCTTTCCCCTTAGGGCTGTTGAGGGGACTCTGATTTCTGTTCAGTCATAGGCATTTTTGTGATGTTAATATTGCTAACTTTTCTTGAATGTTAAATGGGACTTGAGATGATATGTAATTAGAAAGTAAAATGCTTTAGAGAAGCTTTCTATTTAAAGAAATAAAATATTTTAGCTTACAAGAAAATACATTCATTCATATAAATAGTAATCAAATGCCTGCTGTGTGCAAGAGTTACAGCAAAAGTCAAGAACTGCACGGACCCTGCCCTCAAAGAGTTTACAGTCTATTGAACAGATAACGAATGTGTGCACAGGAGATAAAACAAGATTAGAAAAATCACAGGTGCCATAAAAGAAGCTAAATGCATAGGCATTCTGAGGAGGGAAAGATTACTCCTAGCTTTGGTTATCAAGAAAGTAAAGGAAGAAGTAGATCTGACCTAAACTGAAGATTACAGATAATGATTTTGTTCTAGTGCTGTTTCAGGCTCCACACCTTTGAGAGCCCCTGTGCCCATTGTTGGTATTTCTAATCCTGCAGTGCCAGTAGGTTTCCCAATGGGCTCTCATTGTCAATAGAATACTGTTAAGTAATTCATCAAAAGGCTTTTCTTGTCAGTGCTCTCAATAGTGCCTTTTCTATTGCACAAGAAATACTTATCCTGGGCCATCAGCTCTCTCTGAGCTCAGATTTGTCACTCTACTTTTCCAGGGACTTGTCATTCCCTTGTCTAAATCTAATTTTGTTGACATGGTCTTGCTGTTCTGAACATTTGTTTGAGTCTGTATTTATAAGAGATGTAAAGATAAAGAGCTATTAGCTGATGACTGCTGTTTCTTTTTGCTTAAACCACATATTTAGGTGTGATCATGATGGCTGTGGAAAAGCATTTGCAGCAAGCCACCACCTTAAAACTCACGTCCGTACACACACCGGTGAGTTTAAGTTCATTTTTCTTTTCATCTTCGGAGAGCCAGTAAATTCCATGTTCCAGTTGAGACCTGTGGAGCTCTGTGGAGGGGAGGGAGCCTTACCAGCTTAGCCTTCACCTATGATGTTTGACTTACTTTCAGAGGTAAAGGATCTAAAGGTTGGACTCAGGAATCCAACCTTAAGAAATGAAAACAGTACAGAGATACTCAGTAAGAGAACCTGGAGGGGAACTAATCTCTTTAAACTTCCCAGAGCAGGCAGTTCTCAGTGCTTTGCTCTCTACATTGAGTTTTAGGTTTAAGATGGTTAACATATAACTTATCTAAGGTTTAATAGCTAGTAACCCGAACTCTCCTAAGAATACTTCCCTCTTTTAGGGAATGGTAGGTGTCTTAACTCTGTGAAATGACTTCATGGTCAAATTAACATTACTTGTCATTCTTGCAGGTGAACGACCCTTTTTCTGTCCCAGTAACGGCTGTGAGAAAACATTCAGCACTCAATACAGTCTCAAAAGTCACATGAAAGGTCACGATAACAAAGGACACTTATACAATGCACTTCCAACTCACAATGGATCAGAGGTGTGCAGTGTTTTCTCTCTAGCTTTGAACTGGGCACCGCAGAACAGCAACCATTGTTTGTGTATCAAAATAAAAGGTCAAAACATCTTCTCTGTGTATCTGTTAGCGAGAGGGAAGAAATCAGGGCCAAGATCTATGTCTTGGGGATGGGGTGGTAAAAGCCAGATTCTCACCAGACTCTGTGCCTTAGCCCTTGGTTCAACTCCCCGTCCTTTCCATCAGGTGTGTGGAAGAGGTCTAGAATGGCTTCCCAAAGGCCAGCCAGATGCTCCAAAAGGGTGTATTTTCCCTTGAATATCTATAAAATGATTTATCTGTACTTGAGTTTGGAACACAAATTAATGCTTTACCTCACACACCCATTAATCTGTCATTGGAGAACCAGGAAGAGGCTGGGTGGTCCCTTGCCCTTCTGAATTGTTTGCAGACCAGAAGGTTTGACCATCACCAGTTTAAGGCACTGACCCACAGAACAAGCCTCTGCAAAGTTTTAGGCAGTTTTGCCTAGTCTTTGACAAGTTCCTCCACCATATTTCCCTCTCCCCCTGCTCATTTCAAGAGGTCCTAGGGTGAATTTACTGTTCCTACTGATAATGTGGTATTGGGTACTTAACATAGGTCTTTTAAACCTAGAAAGTGAATACTATTATTATCTTACTATTTCATAATTAAAGAAACAAACTGACCCCCTTTTGAATAATGAGGTCCTTAAAGTATATAATATGATTTTGATTTGGGGAGAGACAGCATACTTTAATTCTGTGTTTGCAACTTTTATACAACAGACTCTCCCTGTGTTTTATTAGTACAATAACTAACACTTACTGAGTGTTTGCTGTGTGCCAGCCACTGTGCTAAGTGCTTTTTTATGTTTTACCTCACATGAGCTCTCTGAGGTCAGTACTGTTGTTATCCCCATAGTACCGATGAAGACACTGGAGGCAAGGAGAAATGATTTGCCTAAGTGACCAGAATTTGTAATTAGGCTTATTGGGCAGGCAGTCTGATTCCACAACCTGGTTCCCGATCCCTGTGTTGTAGGAGGCAAAACCGCATGTGTTGTGAGGACTGCAGCTCTGGAGCTCAGCTGTCTGAACTCAGATCTAAGCTCAGGCACTAATCGGATGACCTTAGGCAAATGGCTTCTTTGTGCCTTGGTTTTTTTCTTCTGTAAAACCAGATATAAATATTAAGATTTGAGAGTCTTTGTCTGCTAAACTGCATTTGTGAGGTCATGATCAGTTTTCTGACTTTGGTAGTAATCCAGGGATAGTTTAACTGTTGACCACCTGTACGCAGTGGAGGTCCCAGTGCTCAGACCTCTTCTTTGGATCACTCATCACCTCCCAGTGGAAGGAGTCCTCTCCAGCCCCAGGCTTTAAGTGCCATTTAGGGTGCCTTTGAGTCCTAGATTCATAGTCAGCCTGGATCTCTTCCTGAACTTTAGATTTGTACATTCAACCTCCCACTTGACATCTCCACCCAGATATCATCTGCTCTTCTCCGACTTGACATGTACAAACCTGTTCCTCTTGCAGGCTTTCCATCTTAGTAAGCGGCACCTGTTTTTCTACTGGCACAGACCAGAAGTCTTAAGAGTTGTTGTTTTTCTCTCATAATTCACAGTTAGTAGCAAAGCCCATTAGCATTACCTTGAAAACATATAGAATTTGATCACTCTTTCTGGGTGCTGAGTGGTCTTCTTGGCACTCTCATTCTGTCCCGACACACACCTTTCAACCTGGTACCGAGAGTGATCTGTCTAAACCACAGGCAGGTCATGTCTATCCTCTCTGCATAACTCTCCAGTAGTTCCTTGTATTGCTTAAAGTCAAAGTCAGAATCTTTACAGTGGTTTACAAGGCCCTACACTCTGGCATAGCCACTTCTCTTCCTCTCGCTTTAGCCATGCTGTCCTGTGGTTCTTTGAACCAGGGAAGCTCACACCTGCCTCCAGGCCTTTGCACTTTCTGAATCCTCTGCTTGGAACACTTTTCCCGTTTATGCCCTCTTTCCTTTAGAATCTGCTCAACTGCTACCTTATCTAAGAGGCCTTCCCTATTCTAATAAAAGGGCAGCTCCTATACCAGCATTCCCTATTCCCTTATCCTCTGTAGCACTTACTATCATCTTGTATTCAAATATATTTGTTTGTCCCCTCCCCCATACTCTAAACTACTGCTAGAATATAAGCTGTATAGTTGCAGGGTCTTGGTTTTGTTCATTATTGTATCCCTGGGTCTGGAACAGTGCCTAATACATAGTAGATGCTCAGTGAATATTTGTTGAATGCAAGCATGAATGGAAACATCTAATCCACTAGGTAAGCAGGGTTACCACAAAGTACATGGACTGATACTGGCATTCTAGAAATCCAGAGTTGAGAGTTGGCCTAGGCAGCCGTATTTTAATAGTCAGCCCTCATAACGCTCTGAGGAAGGGTCCCTGAGATGCCCATATTGAGGACACAGGGATGTGGTGGAGGACTTGCTGCTAGAAGCACTGGGTTTCTATTCTGTGAATTAGCATGTGATTTTGGACAATTCACTGCCACTCCCCAATTTTCTCATTTCAAATGGAAATGTAAAATAATCCTTCAACTTTTATATGAATAGCAAATGAGGTTATGTGAAATTACTTTATAAAGGATAAGACCAATTATACAAATACTGTTTCATATTACCATGGCTTTTGTTACTCTAGAGACTTAGTTGGGAGATAATTCTTAATAATCATCTTTAAGAAATGTAAGAGATTCTTTTAAGAATATCAGGATTTTAAAAATTGAAGTAGTTCCTATAGTCCTTGTTTAGATGGTTTACATCTAGACATTTGGGGCATGGTCATCAGATGTTTTAGTACATGATATGCTACTATAAATCCTGATTTTTTTTACTTTTGATACTCAATAAGAATTTTTTCTCTTTCACAGGATGCAAATCACTCGCTTTGTCTGAGTGACTTGAGTCTTCTGTCCACAGATTCTGAATTTCGAGAAAATTCCAATACAGTAAGTATAGCTGTGATATGGGTACTAGAGAAATAAGTGCAAGAATTGAGCACTTGAGTTGGTGAGAAAATTGAGGGAGACCAGTTTTTGAAGTCTTCCAAATTTAGTTGTGTTCAGTTTACAACTATTCAATGCGATAGGAACAGAGTCTAAATTACTATTTAAGGTTTAGATTTTATTTCTGTGTTATTGTTTTTTAATACGAGCTCTGAGAGAGAGGTTGTTCTTTCTGACACCTAATGCCTTTTGATCCAGATCACTCACTTGATAACCTCCTGGCCTCAGAAAATTTCTTTCTTTATTCATTGACCAAATATTTATCAGGTGCCTACTCCATCAGGCAGTGTACTGGTGCTGAGCTTGTAGTGGTAAAAATGTAGGTGTGGTTTGTCCTTGAGGAGCTTAAGATTAGTCTCCTATAAAGGAGAACCCGAATTTCAGTCTCCAGACTTTTGAAACCCCGCCAGTCGGATCTGAGTCAGTCTTTTCCTTTCTTTGAGCTCCCTACATTGGGGTTTTTAAGGCAACCTCCTCTTTGGGCCCCCTGCTAAAGGAAACCCCCCCTATCCAGTTCACTGTTTGGCATTTCTCCTCCTTTCCCATGGCTCAGTGATGTGCCTTGCAGACCAACTGCATTAAGCCTTAACTCATGCTGCTCCTTGAGCATCTGTGTGCTTTACTGTGTCACCAGCACAGGTTGTTAGTGTGCAATTTTTGTTGTTTTTCTTTGCTAAATAAATATAGCTTAGGTTAGAGTTTCTGGGTATATACATGATAAATAAGAAGGAATCAGTGCGATAGGAACAGAGACTGAATGACTCAGGAATGCTGTGAAAAAATATTTCTCAAAGAGGAGTAATCTGCAGCACTTCTGCTAGCGCAGGTTCTTGCTGCCACTCCAGCATTTTCTATTCCCTTACCTGCCCCAGGTCCCTGGGAGTGGTACCTACACTACATTTTTATATACGCAGCCCAAGGCCTGGGTCTGGTCATGGCAGAGTCACTCTTATCAGACCAACTCTTGCATAGAAAACAACGAGATAGCCCTACTAGTGTGGCTCAGTGGTTGAATGTCAACCTATGAACCAGGAGGTCGCAGTTTAATTCCTGGTCAGGGGACATGCCTAGGTTACAGGCTCCCTCCCCAGTAGGGGAAGTGCAGGAGGCAGCTGATCAATGATTCTCTCTCATCGTTGATGTTTCTATTTCTCCCTCTCCCTTCCTCTCTGAAATCAATAAAAATACATGTATATTTTTAAAAAGATAACTATATATTTGGACAGAATATAAAAAAAACAACTACTCGAAGGCACCAGAGAGCAACCCAAATAGGCAGAGGTAACCCTTGGAAGAAGGGGCCACCTAAAAGTTAGCTAAGGCACTTGGCTGGGTTTTCAGGTTTTATCACTTACCTGCTCAGGGCCAGCTCCGGTTGACACCAAACAAGGTGGCTAACACTCAGTAAACACTCAGTGCTACTGGCATGATAATCCAGAGGGCAGAGGTCAGGGCTACCAAAGCTCCTAGAAAATAAGGGGGCATAGCCTGGAAAGGAGAGAACCACAAAGGGGGAGCCCCAAGTTATTTGTGTAAACTCTGTCCAGATCTCTAGTTGACCCCTGAACTGTGGCTGTGTGGCAGACTCTAAGTAGCCCAGCTAAGGCTAAAGAAGTGACCAAGATTGCAGCTGCTGTCCACTGCAGGGAAGAGAGTGTGGTGCTGGAGTTCACCCAGTCAATGGAATGTTAAAGCAAACATTCTTCCAAGTGTCAGAATCCAGAGTTTTTCTATAACATGTCATTTGCAATGTACAGAGTAACCCAGAATTAGTAAACATGAAAGAAAGAAAACCATTATCCCTATGCAAGAGGAAAAGTAATCCTATGGAGACCCACCACAAGATACCCAGATGGGCCCTAACCGGTTTGGCTCAGTGGATAGAGTATCAGCCTGGGGACTCAAGGATCCCAGGTTCGATTCCAGTCAAGGGCATATACCTTGGTTGCGGGCACATCCCCAGTGGGGAGTGTGCAGGAGGCAGCTGATCAATGTTTCTCTCTCATCAATGTTTCTAATTCTCTATCTCTCTCACTTCCTCTCTGTAAAAAAATCAATAAAATATATTTAAAAAAAGAAAAAGCCAGATGTTAGACTTGGTGGACAAGGATTTTTTTAAAAAATTCTCACTCGAGGATGTGTTTTACTGATTTTTATAAAGAGAAGAAGAAAGAGGGAGATAGAGAGAGAAACATTGATTGGTTGCCTCTGTATGCCCTCCCCTGGGGATCAAACCCATAACCTATGTATGTGCCCTGACTGGGAATCAAACCCTCAATCTTGCAGGCACCGACAATATTCCAACCAACTGAGCCACACTAGCAGGACTTCAGACAAGGATTTTTAAGTAGCTCAAAGGAATGAGCTTATAATGATTGAATATATAGAAAATATCAGCAGAGAAATAGACTATTAAAAAATGTACCAACTGGAAATTCTGGAACTGAAAATTTATGTGAAATAAAATATTCACTGATGAGCTTAGCAGCAGATTGGAAATGACAGAAGAAAGAATCAGTTAAGTTGAAAATATGTCAGTAGAAATTAACCAGAAGGGAAAAAAACCAAACCACTGTAAATAAGCACTTCATATGATTTTTATGCATATTCACATTTCAGAGCTTATTCTCTAAAAGAAATGTCTGTATTGGGTAGCCTTTTTGCCCTCTGAGCTGTGCAGCCTAAGATTTCTAGTTATAAAGCTCTTTAATCTCAGATTGTGTTAAATAGTTTAGGGGTTTGCTCCTGGCTAGGGCTGTGACGGATGATTGAGGAGCTTTCTGGAGCCTGGAGTCACCCGGTGAAGAATCTTGGTATGAGGGAACATTAAGTACGTACTTATAAAAAACAGGACTGCTTTCCTACTACAGTTTACATCAGTAAGAGAGAGGCTGCTCTATCCCTTGGGGTCAAATTACATATTATGCCCTTACTACCCAGCATTTATTTCAGAATTGGAAATAATCTAATTTTTAGAGCCTTTCAAGCTAAGGCTATACATTCCTTGAAGTTGTAAGAATAATTTTGCATTGTTTTACTTTGCTTTAAAGAAATTGATTGTTAACATGAAATGGTAAATAAATACACCTTAATTTGTTCTTTCTATTTCCCTCGGGTATCTGGATAGTTTCTAATTTGGGGCCATGATGAATAGTGCTGTGAACACTCTTGTGCATAATCTTTTGGAGTCATGCAGGCTCATCAGTCAACAATGTTATTGTTGATGATTTGTAAACAAGAAGAACAAAAAAACAACTAAGAGGAAGTTGCAAAGTTTATGGTTTAGTGGTAGTTGTTAGCCCACTATTTTTCAAATTGAGTTGTACTTTGCTGTGACCGGTGTGTCTCAGGGGATTGAGCATTGGGCTGCTCACCCGAAGGGTTGCTGGTTCCATTTCCAGTCAAGGGCACATGCTTGAGTTATCGGCTTGATCCCTGGTCCTGGTCAGGGTGCATGCGAAAGGCAACCAATCACTGTGTCTGTCTCACATAGACACCTCTCTCTCTCTCTCTCTCTCTCTCTCTCTCTCTCTCTCTCTCTCTCTCTTCACTATCCTACTTTCTCTAGAAATCTATGGGAAATATATCCTTGGGATTAACAATAACAAGAAATGATTGTATCTCATTATTGGTTTATAAAATAGTATTTATAATCAGCATTTTAAGAACATCAATTGAATAGGAAATATTAGAAGACATTGGGTATAGTAAGGATAAGCTCCATTTCATAAACTCTTGTTTCAGTTATACACATGGATATGTATGTTATATGAAATATCTATGTGTGTGTGTACATATATCTGTGTATATATATATACACACCTACATACTCCATAATGTAAAACGTACTTCTTTGTATCACAATTAAAACTTTGAGGGTCACTGTCCTCTCTGTGGATGGAAGCTGGAAGGCTCACATAGATTTCTGCCTTCATCTCTGTCACACTGGCAGTCCGAGCCACCGAACTTCCCCTCTCAGCCTTCCAGATGGTGGGATCATGCTAGAGTAATTAACTCAAAAGGGCATTTTCCTCTCTGAGGATCTCCAGTGGGTGGACTGTTCTGCTGGGCACATTTTGCCCAGCCCCAGAGTGATTCTTCCCCCACAAGCAGAGTTGTTGCAGAATGACCTTAAAGTACAAGTTGGCATTGGGGCTATCAGGCCGGCAGTTAGATTTTGTTTGGTTTATACGGTGTTTTTAAATGGATTTCAGTTACTTGCTTTTAATGACAAGTCAGTAGTCTTCACCAAATGATTCAAATTTGGGAATGTGCTTGAGCTCTGGTGCTCCTCATCCCGCAGAACCAAGTGGCAGGATTCCACTGAAGCTCCCGCCCCTTGTCCCTTGCTTCACTTATTTGTAGGATTTGTCTAGACTCTTGGAGGTTGCCTTTGCAACTCTTGTCCTACAAAATGAATGAGTGGAGATGGATTGCAGATAAAAGAATTGGTGTTTTCCCCTTTCCTTAACTAACAGGAAGCCTGGAGGTGGTCGTTTTATTTTATTTTCAAAAAATATATTTTTATTGCTTCCAGAGAGGAAGGGAGAGGAAGAAAGAGAAACATCAATAATGAGAGAGAATCATTGATAGGCTGCCTCCTGCACACGCTCTACTGGGGACCAAGCCTGCAACCTGAGCTTGTGCCCTTGACCAGAATCGAACCTGGGACCTTCAGTCCACAGGCCACACTCTTTCCACTGAGCTAGGGCGAGGTGGTCATTTTATTTAATGCTTGTCAAGACTCAGGTCCTCAGAGTAATATGTGTTGGTTTGTTTCACATTTTATCTTTATAAATGCTGCTGACTCTTATTTGTAAGTTACAAAGAATCAATGTAATGACAATAGTGCATATAAAAGGATCACTATTGCCTGTCATTAAAAGTTCTTTACAGTGGTTGATTCATTACCAGGTATACATATTAGAATATTATAGATGTTGTGTAATGACTTGAAAATTATTAGCAATATATTATTACATGAGAAAAACAAGTTGCAGGTAATGGGTATTATTCGATCCCATTTTATGTAGGATTTGGTCTTAGAGTACGGGTTGGCACACTTTTTTTGTAAAGGGCCAGATAGTAAATATATTACACTTTGTAGAGCATACGGTCTCGTCACAACTCCTCAGCTCTGCCGTTGTAGCTGGAACACAATAAATGAACAAGCATGCCTGTGTGCCAGTAAAGCATTAGGGAAGCAGGCATTCAGCTGCTAGTCAGCTTGTCGGGTTCTGTTTTAGAGTATTTGAGGGCCCATGTTGAGTGTCTGAGGTTTAGGGACATAGATGTCACCTGAAAAGGAAAAGTTAGAAACAAGAAGCATATCAGAAGATCAGGTGGTTGTGCTGCTCTGTGTCCTCTCATTGTGAAGAATTGCCTCCGATGGCGGGTCTCAATCTTTGTCTTTGTCCATCAGACACAGGGCCAGGACCTCAGCACACTTTCACCAGCAACCATCTTTAAGTCCATGTTCCAGAATTCAGATGATTCGGCAATTCAGGAAGATCCTCAACAGACAGGTTTGTTATGCAGTCTCTCTTCCTGCCCAGATCTCAGCACTGGGAAGGGGAATTCACACGCTGACTCTCTGAATGACGGCCCGGTGAAAGATTATTTCAGTTTCTTTGAATGAAGTGACTTTCAGTGAGGGGTTAGAAAAGTGAGGGCCTTTCAGTTCAATTCCATCTTTTCCCCCACTTCCCTCAGCAAGGGTGTGCTTTTCCCTAGACCCTCAAAAAGGAGGGTCTCCTTTTCCCAAAGCTCTGGATGGCTTTAAAAAATGAGAGGAACTGTGAGCTCTTCTGATGTGACACCATTTGTGAGAGGGTAGGATCCTCAAGCTTAGCTCAGACCATGTTCGAATGAGAATCTGCCTGAAGCCTCGCAGTAGTCGGAAAGGATGTCGAGCCCTGTTTGTAGAAAAGCCTTACAACGCGTTTTTTTATGCTGAGACCTAAACTAGGTCTTCACATTTCGAAAGTGAGGTTGATTGTGAAGCTTGGTTCTTTGACCAGAGGTGTCATTAAATAAAAAGCAGAAAGCAGCCTGCTAGCAATGAAGGAATTGGCCCCACAGACTTCAGCTGTCTTTGGTTTAGCTCCTAGTGACTGTGTTTTTGTGGCTCATGTAAGGCTTGGGATATGTATATATGTTTCTATTTCTTTTTTTTGCCAGCTGCCTTGATTGAAAGTTTTAATGGTGATGCAGAGTCAGTCAATGATGTTCCGCCACCCACAGGAAATTCAGCATCTTTATCTCTTCCACTTGTACTGCAGCCTGGCATCTCCGAGCCACCCCAGCCTCTACTACCAGCCTCAGCACCGTCTGCTCCTCCGCCTGCTCCCTCCTTAGGACCTGGTTCCCAGCAAGCTGCATTTGGCAACCCCCCTGCTCTCTTACAACCTCCAGAAGTGCCTGTCCCCCACAGCACACAGTTTGCTGCTAATCATCAAGAGTTTCTTCCGCACCCTCAGGCACCGCAGCCCGTCGTGCCGGGACTTTCTGTCGTTGCTGGGGCTTCCGCATCAGCAGCGGCAGTGACGTCAGCCGTGGCAGCAGCGCCCCAACCACAAAGTACTACTGAACCCCTGCCAGCCATGGTCCAGACTCTACCCCTGGGTGCCAACTCTGTCCTAACTAACAATCCCACTATAACCATCACCCCGACGCCCAGCACGGCTATCCTGCAGTCCAGCCTTGTCATGGGGGAACAGAACTTACAGTGGATATTGAACGGTGCCACCAGCTCACCACAAAACCAAGAACAAATGGTAAGTGTTATGTATAAACAGATCCAGTGGGGTGAAGTGAAGTGGCCTTGCATAGGTGACATGTTCAGAGGCTTTTGCTTCAAAAAAAGGAAAGTGGCCGTCAAGCCCTGAAATATTTAATTCTATTTCTCGGTCATCTTTCCCAGAATCAGGTGGTGTAAACCCAGGAAATGCTGTGGTCGGACCTACAATAGGGAGGCAGAGAATCAGGCTTACGTTTCCCGAGCAATTGGCACTTAAACAAGTATTCCACCTGCATCTAATCCTGTCATCTAGGACAGGAGCGCAGTCGGCCAACTCCCGAGGCCCAAGAGCGGTTCAGGAAGCGCCTTCTGTCTCCAGGGCAGAGTCACACTGAGCGAGGGATTGACACCACCCCATCAGACGCGCGTCAGAGAAATAATCTCTGCTCCCAGAGCCCACTTAGAAGCTATTTTCTGCAAAGCGTTTGGTCTCGATGATAAGGAAATGATTTCATTGTTCAATTAAATATCTCAAATAAACTATTCAGGGCATTCAAATTCCATAAACAAGGTGCCAGCCACCTCTGGAGGCAACCTAGTTCCACTTTCAAATGGGAATGTCTTTTCTTTTTTTCTTTTTAAAAAAAAATATATTTTATTGATTTTTAACAGAGAGGAAGGGAGAGAGATAGAGAGCTAGAAACGTTGATGAGAGAGAAACATCGGCCAGCTGTCTCTTGCACACCCCCTACCGGGGATGTGCCCGCAACCAATGTACATGCCCTTGACCAGAATCGAACCTGGGACCTTTCCAGTCCGCAGACCGATGCTCTACCACTGAGCCAAACTGGCTTCGGCGGGAATGTCTTTTCAATATTACGACCCAATCTGCTTCCATGTATTTTTTATCATTTCTTTCTGAATCTGCCCGGGGGAGCTGCATGGAACAAGTGTTGGCATTCCTTTTCCACACAACTCATTTTCATGTATTTAAATATGGGTCTAATTTTCCCATCATTATTTTACAGTGTCGTCTATAACTTAGCCAGAAACTTTCACATTCCTCCTAGATTTTCTTTATTTCCTAGAGGGATAAAAGACCAAGCCCTAGATCCAGAGACAAATGGCAGCGGGGAAGGAAGTGGGGTTAGGGATCAAACAAAGGACTTGTATATTAGCGTAACCAATGGACACAGATACTGGGCCAGTGAGGGCTTGCCCTCAGGGGTGGTAGTGAGGGAAGTCAAGGGGTGAGACATATGTAAAATTTTAAACAATCAAAAAAAAAAAAAGACAGTGTTTTGAAATTAAGACTTGAAGATAGTCAATTTAATAGGAAGTGTACTAAAGTGATTAAGGTGATTTCTGGGCATGACTTTATAGTCCTACCTAGTAGTAACATAAGTAGCTAATGTTTGCCGGGCACTCTGCACTCACCTAGGACTCTACATGCATGCTCTCATTTCATCCTTGCTGGGGTTCTTTGGTTATCATCCCCATTGTTACCGATGGGGAAACTGAGACTGTCCGAGGTTGAATCACTTGCCTGACTTTAACAACAAATAAGGACTGGAATCAGGTGTGGCAGAGTACAGGGCCCTTCCTTAGCCACTGCCCTGTGCTCAGGGCCTTCACCAGGACTGTTCTGCCTGTGAGGTGCAGTCTCAGCCTGTACTTAGCATCCATCTTAATCCTTGCGGGGGATAAAGAACATTCCAGCCTCTTAGAAGTTTTGGGGAATGGCAGAGAGCGGAGAGCTCAGAGGGGACTAGCCCTGGGGCTCCCTCTGAGATCATCAACTTGAGAACAGCAACCTTGGAGGAGCCTTTGGGCACAGGGAACCGCTGGATTAGGCAGCTGGGCGGCAGCCAAGGAGTGGAGGACAAAGCCGGCTACATTGTCCACACGAATGTCAAACAGCGGGGTGACCTCATGCCAGAGCACAAACAAAACATCTCTCAGTGCAGATCCCACAGCACTGAGCGTTCTCTCCCTCTTAAGGGACCATCACATCGGGGAGGCTTCCGCTCCTTGGAGCTCTGCCATACACGGGTGCCATAAATGTGAATTTTTTGTTTTCCAGCAGCAAGCATCTAAAGTTGAGAAGGTGTTTTTTACCACTGCGGTACCAGTGGCCAGTAGCACAGGTATGTAATTCAATGTGAACTTTAAAAGATAGTCAACTCCCTGGGCCCTTTGAGGCACAGTTGTTAATTGTTGCTTTGCCCGATTTTTAAAACTTTGAAATCAAAATTGTTACATTGTATTGTTTGTTTATTAGAGTATCTCATTCTTTATAACTGTTGGCGTTAGTGCACTTACTAATGCCACTTTTAACATTTTTTTTTAAACTAGTAACAGTTCTTTCTCATTCAGATACAACTTTTACATGTAGCCAGAAAAAAATTTTTTTTTGAATCACAGTTAATGCTAAAGAGGGCAGTTGTTAATTCACTGGACTCTTTCCTAATTACAGTAATGAAAAAATAGTATCTGGGTCAAAACTGTATAGAACTAAAAGTTCCTTTTTTTTTTTTTTTTTTTTTCCCCCAAACTCTTTATGTTATGGAGTAAGAGACTGAGGCCCTGAAAGGTTAAATGACTCCCCCAGAGTCACAGAGGAGTTTGCGACAGAGCCAAAGCACGAGTTCTCAGGCCTCCTGGCTCCACACTGCTCTCCTGCCCCTTGGTCTCTAGGGCTTTTGAGACACACAAAGCCTGTCTGAGTTCAGAGTGTGTGCACATGAGGCTGGTTGTGTAGAAGGAGGTTTTACAGACACCCACTGTGTGTTAGTGATGGCTGCAAAGATGAGTGAAATGTCCTGACGGAGCCTCGGGCAGGCGGAGCGGAACAGTCCCATACAGTGCGGGCAGAGGGACAAAAATGCTAGATGCGGGAGGAATGCAGGAGCTCTCGCAGTGCCAGGCAGCTGCCTAGGGCCGGCCCTAGGTGTACGCCTGCTGGAAACACTGCCTGGAGGCATCCGAGGGGTCAGGGGAGTGAGCTGGGCCTTCGGAGCTAAGAAGAGTAAGTTCTCCAGAACAGCCTGGGAGTTTAGGCCACAGGAAGCACCCATAGGCTCAGAGATAAAAAACGAAAATAAAACATGTCAGGAAAAGGGCATGGAGGTTGCAGGGGAGAGGATGGCTGGAAACAAGGCTGGAAATATAGGGTACATCTCGATGGTGTGTGTGGCTTTCTAAGGAAGAGGGACTTTGTCATGGGGCATGGCATCCACCCTCTCCATCATCATTCCTGCCTCCATGGCACGCAGCTCTCACCTAGTCTAGATCCCCCTGTGCCCTGCAGCCACTTGAAGAGCAGTCTCTCTCACCTCTCTCGCAGGGAGCTCTGTACAGCAGATTGGCCTCAGTGTTCCTGTGATCATCATCAAGCAAGAAGAGGCGTGTCAGTGTCAGTGCGCATGCCGGGACTCTGCTAAGGAGCGGGCGGCTAGCAGGAGAAAGGGCTGTTCCTCCCCTCCCCCTCCAGAGCCAAGCCCCCAGCCTCCTGAGGGGCCCAGCCTGAAGCTTCCACCACAGACTTTCTCCTCACCCTCTGTCCCCCTGTCATCCTCCTCCTCCATCTCCTCTTCCTGTGAGCAAAGCAGACAAGCAGAGACTCCTCCAGACCCTCAGACAGAAACGTTAAGTGCCATGGATGTGTCAGAGTTTCTGTCCCTCCAGAACCTGGACACACCGTCCAACCTGATTCCCATTGAAGCACTACTGCAGGGGGAGGAGGAGCTGGGCCTGAGCAGCAGCTTCTCCAAGTGAAAGGCCGACGGTGCTCCCCTCCGGGAAGAGAGGGCGAGCGGGAAGCACACGTAGGTGCAATGTCTACCATCATGGGATCGGTAATTTGAAGGATGAAGAAATCTATTTGAAATCCTCAGCTTTCGGATATATTTTCTTTATTCATATCCCAGGAGCATCCATTTTAAGGAACTGATCTTTGGGAAGAAAAAAAACACAAAACAAAACAAAAAAAAAGCTAAGTTATAAATGAACTGTTTGGCTGCACTGTATGTCACTTTTGCTTATTGTCATGTGAACTTGGAAATTAAGGTTACTCGTATGCATAAAAATTCCAAGTGAAAGGGTGTGGTTTCCATCAATCTGATGTTGCCCATCACTTGCACTGGGGCCTTGTGGTCTGGACAGTAGAATTCAGTGTGTCAGGTGTTGTTCCTCCCTGTGCGTCTTTTGAGCCTGAGGCTGAAGCTTGCTCCAAAAGCCAGTCCCCTCACTCCATCAGAGAGGGAAGTGGCAAAGGCAGGTCAGACAGCCGTGAGCCAGATGGGAATTGGGTGAGATGGTTTTGATATTTGCACTTGGTGTCAGTGGAGCTCAGAGTGACTGTGGCAGGTGTTGTCTGCATCCAGCTGCAGCACAGATGGGCAGCTAAAAGCCTGGCCGGAAGCTGTAGGGAGGATCTGGTTCTGCAGGGGCCCGAGCCAGCTGTTTGCTACCTGCCAATGGCGTGTGTGCAGAGCAGGCTCTAGCAACGTGATCACAGTCTTGGCCTTCCTGGTTCTGTCTCTCAATTGGTTGCCAGGATTCGCAGGTCACAGCGAATTTTTCTTGGGGAACATCCCTGTTTTGTCCTAGAGTGGACATGTGGGTGTATGGCCAGTTGCTAGTCGGTGCTCTGCCTTCCTTTAATAGTAGTTCTCTTATTTGGAGCAAAAGCTGCATTTTGCTTATCAATGAGGGAGGTTTTCTAAGGTGGCATGTAATTGGCAGGCCAGGTTTCCTGGTTCCAGGTTCTAGCCAGGCTTTTGGTTGCCCCTCCCATTTCCACCTCTCGCCCCTCTGGATTTTGCATACAGCCTAGTACAGTGCAAAGAAGGATGTGACTTGCTCAGCTTAGTCACATGATTTCTAAACAAAAAAAAAAAAAAAAAAAAAAAAAAAAAAACAAAACACAAAACGATGATCTTCTACTCAGGGTAAAACAAAAAAATTCCCCCTTCCACCAAAAAGCCTGAAATGTTGCAATAAGTTATCTCATTTGGAATGTTTCATTAAGTTGTGTTATAGGAAAGAATTGTTTTTTTGATTTGTGTATAGAATTAACAACCATCTGTCTGCCTTTGGCTCCAAGTAATTGCCTCTCAACATAAAACATAAAATACAGCCCACACTAAAATGGAAAGTTTTTCTCAACTGGCTATATTAATGTAGTCAAAAGTGCTCACCACGCTCACTGAGCTCAAACTGGGCATGGCCCCATGTCTATAGACTAGGCCTCCTCCCCACCTTGAGCAAACAGGTCTGCTCTTCTGAGTCAATAATGTTGGGCAGAAAGTAGCCATAATCTTGCCTTCCTTTTCCCACTCCCTAATATAAAACAAGCTGCATTTGCTACTCTCCTGTCTCTGAGCCATACTCAAGGCCAGCCAAGACAGGATCCAGAGCAGATCATTTTGGGAGCCAGAAGCCCAGCATTTAACAGGACATTCAGGGGCAGACTTGGACAAGAGGGCAGTGGTGGTGAACATTGTCACTGCAATGAGAAGTGGGCTTAGCCACAAGCAGCTGCTGGCTTCTCATTCCAGGAGTCTAGGCAGGAGAATGAGTTTCCTTTTAACCTGCACTCTCCTCCCCAAAAGGCTGGTGGGTTCTGGGACCATTGACCTCAGCAGGAGTTGATAAGGCAGGAGGAATCTTCTAGTACCACAGTGAGTTGGTCCTGGAAAACCAGCTGCTGAGCATGGCTTGTCCTTGGCTCTGTGGACCAGGCACCATAGGAAGCTTTGAGGTAGGACACTTGTGTTTTCTCTGCCTCTTCTGTGAGAGACCAGCACAATACGATCCCAAAGGTAGTTCGCATTGGAAGGCAGGAATGACCTCTTCCCACATCCCTAGAGTCACCTGGGACTGAGTTCCCTGGGAGCAGGTGGGGGACGGGAGCCCAGGGAAAGCTGCAGGAAGCGTCCATGGTTTAAATGTTGCTTCTTTCTGGTAGCCAGACCTGCTACCTTGTTGAGCCTGCCCAGGTCAGTGGCTTTTCTACTCCAAAGATTGGGGGTGATGAGGAAGCATCTCAAAATAGTGTTGCGTTGGACAGATTTTTCTAGTTGCAGTATCTGCCTTTTGAGGAGGATTCGAGATTACGAGGACAACTATCAAACCCAGTCAACTTTTGAAAAATGATCAGTGAGTGGTTGTAAAGAAGAGCAGGTTTATTCCACAGGATAGGCAGTCTTTCCTTCCTCCTCCAGCACGCTCCCTCCCCACCTCCTCTGCAAACCTGGCCTTTGGTGCCAAGGACCTTGGAGAAGAGCAGGCCACTGGCTAACGTGGATCCAGGCAGAGCCTTCACGGATGTGGTTTCCCAAACCTGGAGTGAGCCTAGGCTAAGGTTAGAGAAGGTCTGCAGACTTCCGCCAGGTGAAATCAAGCTTTTTTCTTCCCATGGTAGCCTCAACCCTGTGGGTTTATACTTCCGGTTCCCACTTAGCATCTGCAGTTATACTGCTCCTCTGCAGGGTGCTAGTCAGCATCAGGGATTGGAGTGCATGGGCTCAGGAGGTGGGAAGGAACTTTGGCTGGCACCACCAAACTGCCTTAGGGGCTTTGGCCCTTCCCAGGCATTGAGGGAAAGTGGCCCTGCCTTTCCTGTGGGCGTCTGGTCAGCCTCGTGGGGTCATCACCTGTTTGGTGGCAGGAATTAGTGTGATTTATTGAATCCCCTGCCCCACCTCCTTTGAGAAGGAGATCTTGGTACAAAGCCCGTTGGGGCCTTCATGTGTGAAGACCTCTCCGGGTAGAAGCAAGGGACTTGAGTTTACCACCTCTGGGAGAGTCAATAGCTTGGAGAGTCAAGGCAGTGGACTGATGGGGGTAATGGAGGGGGGGAGGGTTTCCTGAGAGACTTTGTATAATGCTGAATGTGTCCAGAGGGATGAGTTTGCAGAACCTCATATTGGTATATTAAAGAAATAATAAAATAAAAAGCACTTTAGGTTATTTTATCTTTAACCCAATTGCTGCAATTTCTTTTGTGTGTGTGTGTGCGTGCGCGCGCGTGCACGCGTGCGTGCGTGTGTGTATGTGCGTGTGCTTCCCACAAAGTTTTATTTTTTGCTTAGAATAAAAAGTTAAATTGAGGTGTGAAAAGAAAAGCACTTACCTTGGTGCAATATGTGTAGCTTGATGGTCGTTGTCCCATGTGGCCCTGGCCTCGAATCTTCTGCTCCATCAGCCCTGTACCAGGAGGCTGTCTGTAGGGAAACACTATTATGCATTCTCAGCAACTGCTCAATCTATGCAAGCCTTCCCTGTGTGCCTGAGGACGCCCCCTCAGGCTCTCTAAAGAACTGCGGGTCCTGTTTTCTGCTGACTGTTGAGGCCCTTTTGCATCTCTTCTTGCACCCTTACCATCTTCCCCCCTTCACCATTACAAAGTGATGCCTGAAAGGAAGGAACAGGATGTTCCTAGGTAGAAACCTGGCACCTTCTAGACGTTTATATTTGTAATCACGTTCATTGTCCTTAATCTTAAAAGACTTCTCCAGAATCACCAAAACCATTGATTTGTGGAACTTGCAACAGTATTGCTAAAGACTTTTCAGTTTTCCTAATCACCAATCAGAAATATGTTTGGGGAGGTGTTAGAGGTGGAGAGACAACATAAGCCATTTCCTTACCGCTCCCATACTGCCCCTATTGGCTCCTTATGCAAAAAGGCCTCCAGCCTTCATTAAATCCACTAAACAAAGCTGTTCATAATTTGCTTTATCAACTTTTCCCCTTTCCCCTCACTCCTCTCTTGTTTCCCCTGCCACCCCATTTTCCTTCATTCTCAGGCTACTACTATACAATGGGAAAGTTTGAAAAAACTTCAGCCAAAGCAGAAAGATTTCCCTAGATCCAATATGCAAATGATTCTGCTGTGACATTGATCAGAGTTGTTCATTCCTTAATACTGGGGAGGGAGGAGGCATGAAAATGGAATTCTACATATTTCTGATTGGTAACCAGACAGGCTGTCTCCTGTGGGACAGTCTTGGGGAAGAGAGAAAGGGTCCTTCGTTTCTCCTCATGCCCTTTGGGGAAGCTGATGACCACTGTCTGGGCATTTCTCACTGTGAAGCCTGAGAAGAGGGCTTCTCTATCTGCACTGAAAATGCAAATTAAACTGGATCTTTATGTTAATGTGTACATAGCACAGCCTTTTTACTGGATGCAAAGTTTAAAACCTCACACTGCCCTTTTGGTGGTGTGCCTGCTGGGCCAAAAAAATTGGGTGATAACGTAGTGTCACTTTCGCAGCTCAATGCAGTTTCTACTCTTTTTCTTATGGGAAAGTTTTTCATAAAACCCTTTTTCACCAGAACCCAGGGTTTTGTTTTCAATATCCTTGTTATCCTCACAGTGGTGCCAAGTCAGAGGCCTCACCTGCCCTCTCCCCTGTGTCCTCAGGCCTCCCCTAGAGCGATGTTTGACTCTAGTCCTCTTGTTTTTGGTGAATGTGGGGGTGGGGGTCAGAGTTCAAGGTGGTGGTTTCCTTTCACTGCCAATTCCTAGACCGTTTGGAGAAGGTGGTTGGAAACTTGGATTTGCTGAATCTCTCTGGCTTAGATCTTCTGGCCCCGCAAGGCAAGACCCACAAGAGTTTTTTGGGTTTTTTTGGTTTTTTGCATATACTAGTCATTGGCTGAAGGTCTTGGGGACAGTTCTCTAAAACCCAATAGTTTTATTTGGATTATGTAAAGCCCATCAAATTAATTTAAGTGTGAAACATGGGAACAACAGATTTTCACTGAGCGATATGAAAACGTTACAGGTTCAGTACTTCCAAAGGAAGAAACCTCCAAACCCAAAAAAAAGAGTAAATATGAATTTGTATTTTTGAAGAATGTGAAATAATGGTGTTTGCTTAATTGCTCATTTTGTATAAACTTAATATTGTACTTTAAGATATCTGCTAAGAAGTGAAAATTTAACTTTTTGGAATTGAAAAAGCAATATTAAATACTAATGAGATCCTAATTAAATGCTTATTTAAATCTGGTAGTTATCTGTGGTATTTCTTCCCAACCCTGCCAGCTTTCACCCACTTCCTCCCTCCCCAGCCCTCAGTCTCAGAGATGGGACAGAAAGGAAAGGCCAGTCACCAGGAAAGTCTGCAGGCTTCCTTTTAATCAAGGCTCTGCTGAAAGTGTTTTGTGGGACTTGGAGCCCCCAAAGCATGAAATGGACATGTAACACCACCTGGATCCCCGAAAGCAGGCCAGGCCACTCTGGCGAGCACTGCTGGCCTGCCCAACTCCCTTCATCAGGCTGGATATTCCATGGCTACATTTCAAGGCTCAGCACTGCATCAGCCAGGATGAAGGAGTGAACCCAGCGGCTAGCAGAGCTGCCACCCCAGGCTAAGGGCCAGGTTCCAGCCGTTGCCAGTGAAGACTGGTCCTTTCCTGAAGGCAGTTGTTCAGAGTCCAGCCACCAGCCCCCCGGAGGGAGAGAACTCAGGGCCCCGGGCTTGGGGAATGGTCAGGGTTCCGTAGCTCCATCGCCAGCATCCTTTGGGAAGCCGCCTCTGGCGCAGACAGCTGGCTGGGGGGGCGCCCCGGGTTTGGATGAGACATTCTGGTTGGAACAGAAAGGAAGAAAGTGAGGCTGGGAGGAAAGGCCTTGGATTAGGCCCGCAAGGATATGGCTACTTGGCATCTGGACAGCACTGAACTTTTTCAGAGCCTCTCACCCAGATGAGAAGTGGGAGGTGCAGCAGTGGGGACACTTTCACGCTCGGGGGAAGCTAGGGCTCAGCAAATCTAGCCAGTGGACAGACCCCACCTCCCAGGCCCAGCCGGGAGGCACTGACCCCGCCACCCGCCGGCTCCGGGCGCCGGCGGCCCAGCTGCCGCAGCATCTCCTCGCAGGCGGCGATGGTGTCCAGGAGCTGCCGCTGCCGCTGCTCCACCGCGTCCAGCAGCTGCTGGGCGCGCTCATCCCGGGGCGGCTGCGGGGTTGGCCTCCCGCCGAGCCCCAGCCCCGCCTTCCCACGGTCCACGCCGGCAGCCTCCCTGCCCGGAGGAAAGAGCGAGAGACAGGCCGTCAGGGCCGGCGCTGGCGCGGGGTCCGAGCCCATTCCCCCCGCCCCGACGGGCCCCCTCTCACCCCCGTGACCAGTCTGAGCCCGGGCCCCATTCCATCTCCGCCTGCGCGGCCCGACCACCGCCCCCCTTTCGGCCGCCCCCTCCCCAGCGCTACGCTAAGGTTCCGCAAAGCTGCGCCCCGCCCCGTCCCCACCGGTCTCCTTCAATCCTCCTGGGGGTCGTGGTCCCTTTAAGTGGCCCGGAGCGGAGGTGGGGCCGAGCCTCCCGAACCGGAAGCTGATTGGGTGCGTCACTTCCTCCCGGAAGCGGGCCTAGGCGGATGTCTCCGGCGCGTCCGTGCAGGGGACTGAGGGCCGCGGTGGCTGCCAGCGTGGGGTTGAGCGAGGGGCCGGCGGGCTCCGCCCGCAAGGGCCGTCTCCTCCGTCCTCCGGGCCCCGCTCGGGCGACGCCGGGGGCCCGGCTGCTACGGCTCCCGGGAAACGGGGCCGTGCGGGCCGCAAGCCCGGAGCGCGCCGGTTGGGCCGAGGCGCTGCGGGCTGCCGTGGCCGAGCTGCGCTCCGGCGCCGTGGTGGCCGTCCCCACCGACACGCTGTACGGCCTGGCGTGCTCGGCGAGTTGCTCGGCGGCCCTGGACGCCGTGTACCGCCTCAAGGGCCGCAGCGAGGCCAAGCCGCTGGCCGTGTGCCTGGGCCGCGTGGTGGACGTCTACAGGTAAAGCTTCCCCTACCCGGCCCCGCCGGGGGCGGCTCCACGGGAGGGGCTTCCGGTGACGGCTTGGGAGACTGAGGCGCCGGGAGCGGGAGGGGCCGGTCCGGCTCGCCCAGGAATCCGGAACTGGAAATGTGTGTCGAGCACTTGACGTCTGCCAGGCCCTCTGCGAGAGGCTGCCGCCCAACAACGAGCGAGGCGGGCGAGGCCCCTATTCCGGCGTTTTTGTGATTGATGGGGGCGGGGAACTCCCACCGTTAAAAAAAAAAAGGGGGGGGGTAGGTGGGGAGGAAACGGTAGCTTAATTTAGTAGGGAGGGCTTTGAAGAGAAAATGAAACACGGAGCGGGATAGCAGCACAACTGTTGTGGTTTCAGAGACCAGAGGCATGTGGGCCCCAAGTTTGGGGTGCTTCCCTGGAGTCCCTAGGACCCCCTTTTCTAGATCTGCCTAAAGTCTGGGCCTGGACCAGCAGTGGCCCTTCGTTCTTGGGTAGATTTGTGGCCCCTTTGTTTCCCAGGTACTGCCATGTGAGAGTACCCGAGGGGCTCCTGAGCGACCTGTTACCAGGACCAGTGACCCTAGTGATGGAACGCTCCGAGGAGCTCAATAAGGACCTGAACCCCTTCACTCCTGTGAGTGGATTTTCTCTTGTGTCTCTCTGCCCTTTGGCTTTCACAAGGATCCAGGCTGGCCCCACTAACCCAGTCCTTCCATCCTTTCTCACGATCCCCTTTCACCTTGCTTCGTAGCTTGTAGGCATCCGGATTCCTGACCATGCCTTCATGCAGGACTTGGCCCAGATGTTTGGGGGACCACTAGCTCTCACCAGTGCCAACCTCAGCTCCCAGCCCAGTTCTCTGAATGTGAAGGTGAGAGTTTCATAGCTGTCGTCCCAGTCCCAAATGTCATCAGTGAACCAGAAAACTAACACAGTTTTCTGGTTCACTGGAATTGCCTGACAGGAGAGTCATTAGAATGGGAAGTTGACAGGGGTTGAGTTGGGGGAAATCCAAGTTAAAGAATCTTGGAAAGCTTTTATTATAAAGCTTGAGAAGTGAGGGGGAGAAACGGGTGTTTTCTTTCTATCCTTTATAATAAAAGGCTAATATGCAAATTGTCCCCTGGGAAGTTTGATGATGTGCCCTGACCACCAAGGGGCAGCACAGAACAAAGGAAGGCCCTGGCTGGCTCTACCCATGCACAGATTTCGTGCACCTGGCCTCTAGACTTTTTAATAAGAAACATTATAAGTATAATCATTTTCCCCCTTGTTGTAGGGGTAGCAGTTATTGGGGAATAAAGCAGTAAGTCTTTACAACGACGCTATAAAGGAAGTTAAGGCTCCAAAAAGTTAAATCACTTGTCCCAGGGACTCCTGACGATGTTCTCTTACCTCTGCCATAAGCCAGGTCAAAGAAAGAATGTCCTAATCCTGTGTTAGCTGCGTAGCTTGGAACAGATGAGGACACAAAGAAATTCGACTTACCACACTGTTTTCTTCTTACTGAACTTAAATGCAGAACATAGTAAAAGGATGTGGTTTCCCATGCCCAGTCCTAGAGAGTGGGTTCAGGAGTCTGGGAAAGTAAGAGCTCACATCCCTTCTTATTCTCAGACTGCAGGCTTTTACTTGGTCTTGGTAGCCATACTCAAGGCAGTGGGGAAGGAGATGGTGGGAGGTATTCCTGCCTCCTTAGCAAACAGTTGACCTATCCAACTGGTATTCCCCCATCCCATATTCCCAGGCCCGTCTGTCACTGTGATGTCTTCATAAGGGATGAGGGGGAGTGGGTGATGCTGTAGCTAAGAAGGGAGTTCCCCTTCCCATAGCCCAAGGATTGAGTGTTGTTGGTGGCATGAACTTAAAGAGTCCACCCTGTTTCCTCTCTGTACCGTGATCCACAGTTCTCCTGAGACTGGATCAGAGTGCTAGAGCTGGAGGGAACCTTGGGGAGCATCTGTCCAGCTCCCTTATTTTACAGCCCTAGATAAAGTAACTTGAATGTGGTCATACTGAGATTTGGAGGGAAGTCCAGGGCAGAGCCCATCCCTTTGGGCTCTAGCTTAGACTCCAGTCATTGTACTTAAAACTCCCCAACAGAAATGATTGTATGGAATTTCTTCCTGGCACAGCAAGGTATTCTTTGAGCTCTAGATAATTGTTAGTTGGGGTGCTGATGTGGCGGGGCAGACCTCAAACCTCATAGGATGTAGTATTCTAGGTGCTAATGCAGTGTCCTTAGCATAGCTGACTGTAATTAATTGAGCTTCCTTCTCTTATAGGAATGTGCCTCCTGGTTTGGGGTTGTGTAGCCTTTGTCTTACTTGTGAACCCCGCCTGCCTGCAGTGTGACATCATTGCATAGGGTTAGTGTCCATGCTCTTCCTCTCCCTCTTCTTAGGAGTTCCAGGACCTCTGGCCTCAGCTGTCCTTGGTAATCGATGGGGGGCCAATTGGGGATGGCAGGAGCCCCAGGTGTCGCCTCGGCTCAACTGTGGTTGACTTGTCTGTGCCTGGAAAGTTTGACATCATTCGTTCAGGCTGGTGAGTCTCTCTTATGCTATGGGGATAGGAATTGAGGGAGGCTGGGAGATGCAAAAATGGCCTTGACAAAATAAAGGTTGCCACACTCTTGCCCTGACAACCTTTATTTTGGAGAAGTGGTGGGTGGAGTGAGACTAAGTTTGCTGGTGTTTGTTTGTTTGTTTGTTTGTTTGTTTGTTTGTTTGTTTTAGGATTCAAAAGGATCTTTCAAGGGTTTGATGAGCAGAGTGCAGTAAGACCAGGGAGTTAGAGCTCCCTGATCACTGGACTCTGGTGGGCTTTGAGAAGTCAGACCCTTAACTCTCCTCCATTTCCTCCTCAGTGCCCTGGAAAACACTACGGCTGTCCTCCAAGGGAAGTATGGGCTGCTCCCTCACAGGGATCCTGCTGAGACTTGGGCAGCAAAAGGGCCCCAGGACTGATGTTGGACACTATGTGTCTGTCACCGGTGGATGGCCAGGCCTCGTTTGCAGAGGCCATTGGGGCCACAGCGTCACCAGTCTGACTTTGAAAGCAGTTTGTCTTTATGAGCACTGGAGCCAAGCCCCAGGAGAAGCTGGTTTAACTTCACACCTGGGGAGTGGAGCTATTTATTGTCTGTAATTTCCTATGTCAGCGAAAAGCTGAATAGAGACTAAGAACATTCCTAGGATGCTCTTCTAATAAGCTTCTCTCCCTCTCTCTTTTTTAAAATTATTTAAATAAAATTTTATGTTTGGAATCTAATGAGAGGTGGTGGCATTTAATGTCCAAATAAGCTAGAGTGCCAGTTGGTGCTGTTTAAAAGTGTCAAGTGACCAGAAGCTTGAGTTTAGTGCTCCTGAAGCTGGATCCAGGTTGGCCTAAAGCCTAGAGTGACAGCCAGACACACTTCCCTCTGAGGCAGGGGCTGGTGGTGCGGGGCTGCAGTTGCCTGGCGGAGGGTCATTGCTTCCTACCAATGGTGGGAGTCAGTTCAGTCGGCAGGAGTGGGTGGGGGATCCAAATTAAAGAGGATAGGAATATAGATCTATTCAGACAGTGCCTTTTTTCTTATTCATAAAACACATTATAATGATACCATTATTGAAACCCAGTGTCCACTCAGCAGCCTTTATCTGCATTCATATGTATACCATGTGTTAAACAGTTATTGTTGGGCGTTTGAACTTTTTCTTTCAGAGAAAATAAAGAAATTAGACATCTTTGAAAATGGTTTTTCTTTGGATTATTTCCTTAGGATAGAGTTACTGGGTCAAAGTATATAAACATTTTTATGGCTCTTGATACAGATTAGCCTTTGAGAACTGAATCCGGTTGCCATCAGTGACATAGGAGAATTACTGCTCCCCATCCCCTGGGGCACTGCCATGCTTTGGGTATTTTTCACATTGTGTATTTGTGAAATGAGGCCTCCGTGTTACCCCTTCTGTAAGTTACAGGTCACCCCATCCAGCCTTCTCACCTGTCCCTGTTTGCCTTGGTTTCCCCAACTAAGTCACAAGCAGGTGACCAGGTCTGCCCATCTATCAGTGGGGTTTAGTATCAGTTACCTAACTGCAACTGGGAGTCCTTGTGGTACCCTGTAGGGCCCACTACCTCCCCTCTGCCTTGCATCCCAGTTCCCAGAATTGGGAATCACTCTTGAATCCATAAACTTCTCAATATAGTGGTTTCCAATGTACATATTTTCAAGTAGATCCTAATAATTTGCCAAAAAGGTATCCCAGGGCCTGCTTTGAGGGTCCTTACAGTTGGCACTTTAGTTTATTTGTAAAGAAGCAATGGTTTGTTAAATATTCCCTCTAACAACAATCTTGCTATTTTCTTAAGCAAATCCCTCTTCACTGTGGTAACACTAGTCATCCCTCATGTTAGTCTGTCCAAATCTGACTTACAGGGCCAGAATTTGTGAAGTCTTGGAAGAGAACAGGAGGAATGCTTACTTGAGAATACCACATCGTTTAATAATACAAAGCACAGTAGCACTGAAAATGGCTCTAGTGAATGGGCCTCATTCGGGTTTAGGCAGCTAAAGGGAGGGGGAAGTCCTAGTTCTCTCCCTGAAGCTAAATGTTCTGGGGAAATGGAGGGTTGAGCACAGAGGTATTTTCTTAGAGAAAACAGAACACCCAGCAGTGGGTAGAACTGCAAACAGGTAAAACCTATAGCTGTGCTCCTGCACTAGCTACAAGGCCATACATACCAAACGAGGGAAGCTGGGTCCTGTAAGGGAGATGGACCGCTTCTGGTCATTTGCTCCCAGCACATAGAAAAGTGGTGTTAGTCTGTGTTGAATTACTGTGTGAATGCTCAGGATTATTTTCTGAAAATTGGGTTCAGGAATCTACTGGGAATAGCTTAAACCTAGAATTTCCCTTTTAGAAAATCTCAAGTATGGTTCCCCAACTTGGACAAGATGGTCAATGTGGAAAGGAGGCCTGAAGAGAGGGCAGGGATGGCAGAAGGGAGCAAGGTGCATGCTAGCCCAGAACCCTAACACCCTTCCTAGAGCAGTGGCTTGGCGACTCCCCCCACACCACAGCAGCCTGCTGAGTTCAGAGCCAGAAGGGATTATGTCTGTTCTCACTGGAGATATGAAGCTTCTCTGGGCTACATTCAGTCACCTGCCGGCCTCTACAGTTCCCTCTGCAACACCGCCCAGGTTCCTGTCACTGCAGAGCAACCCAGCACTGCTTGCCTGAGGAACAGGCTCTGGTCCTACACGGGCCCAAGCCTGATGGCCCGCTCAGAAGCACCAGCTGCCGACGTGGAGACAGCGAGTGCCAACACCCTCAGCTGAGCCCCACATGGAGACAAGATTCCTGTGAGGCTGGGACATGGGCACCTCATGCCCCGTTTGCAGGCCCCTCACATCAGCCACTGCTCCTTCTCTTTGATGAAGTGCTCTGCCCAGCGGCGCGTCAGCTCCAGGTACAGGCTGGGCTGATGAGGCAGGTAGTCCAAATACAGACGAGTTGGCGTCTTCTTGGGAACGGCCTTCTCGATCTGGGTGCCCTCGTGCCACTCGTTGAAAGAGGTGATGGAGACGATCTCGGGCCTCACTGTCAGGGCTGCCTGCAGGGCCGTCTCGTAGTACTTGCCGTTGACCCTGTTGCGCGTGTTGTGGTTATTCCAGGGCCGGATGCTAGTGTCGATGTACCCAGGCCCCACACTGGGAATGAACATGAGGTTGTTGGCGTCACAGAAGTTCTTCACAGCTTTCCAGTTCTGGTGGGAAGAGCCGAAGGAGAAACCATTGGAGGCAAAGTAGGTGTACATGCCATCAAACCCGGCGGCCAGGATGTCGTGGGTGTGGCCCTCCTCCACCAGCAGCGCTATGAAGACCCCGTCGTAGGGGGTGTTGCGGATGGAGTGCAGCCCGTTTGGAGTCAGGAGATGGGCCCAGGCCTCGGGGGTCGTCAGGTACGAGTCGTAGATATAAAAGAGTGGGAGGCTCTTTCCCATGCTGTTCTTATAGCGGTAAAACGCGCCATGGGAGCCATACCTGAGGAGCAGAGGAAGGAGCACCTGAGTGGCAGTCTAGGGTGGCAGAAGCCAGCACTGCTGTGTCACCAGCCATCGATGAGAGCTTTCCTGATGGCCTACCACAATTTTGGATCCAGCCAGCCTCCATAAGTGGATTGTCATGCCTCTAAGCAAGAACTGGTTCCCTCCCTCCTCTCCCCAGCCTTGTCATTCCTTTAGTCAAGCCTCACCTCCCTGCCTAGGCCAAGCCACATCACCTTTCATCTGGGCTGCAGGCTCCCAATTCTACCTCCTTATAATCCCTTCTCTTTTAAAGTCTACCTCAGATGTGATTGCTCCGAAACCCGCAAGGCCCTACCTACTTGATCTGGCCCTGCCTACTTCTATTCCTGCTATCATCCCATCTATCTCTACACTCCTGGCAACACTGGCCTTCATAGCAGTGTTGGGCTTGTCCCAAACTATGACCTTTGGATCTGACAGCCCTCTGCCTGGAATGTCTGCCTGTCCCGGATCTGCAGAGCTGCCTCTTCATTGGTGTCAACTCTCATGTCATCTCGGAGAGCTCACTTGACCACCCATTCTAAAATATTTGTGGGACACACTCTAGCCAACACAACACTGTGCTTTATCCTTTATTATTACTCTTGCATAGTATGGGTCACTACTTGATTTTTTTGTAACTACTCTCTGTTCCACTGCACCCCTACATACACTAGAATGTAAACTGCTAATCCTACCTACTACCATACACTGGGCTTGGGACAGTGCCTGGACAACTAACGGCACTCAATAAATGTTTCTGGCTGAGACCGGTTTGGCTCAATGGATAGAGCGTCGGCTTGGGGACTGAAGGGTCTCGGGTTCGATTCCGGTCAAGGGCATGTATCTTGGTTGCGGGCATATCTCCAGTAGGGGGGTGTTCAAGAGGCAGCTGATTGATGACTCTCTCTCATCGATGTTTCTCTCTATCTCCATTCCTCTCTGTACAAAATCAATAAAATATATTTAAAATAAATAAATAAATAAATAAATAAATAAATAAATAAATAAATAAAAATAAATGTTTCTGAATGAATGAATAACATGTGCAAGCACTGCACAAACCACTTTCACATATATTAACTCGTGTAACTTTCACAAGACTCACAAATTACGAGGCTTGCCATGTGGCTCAGTGGATGAGCATCAACCTATGAACCAGGAGGTCATGATTCGATACCCAGTCAGGGCACATGCCCAGTTTGCATGCTCAACCCCCAGTGTGAGGCATACAGGAGGCAGCCAATTGATGGTTCTCTCTCATCATTGATGTTTTTATCTCTCCCTCTCCCTCTCCCTCTTCCTCTTCCTCTCTGAAATTAATAAAACATTAAAAAAAAAAAAAAAAGGCTTGCCTTTGTTACAGATTGGAGGCTGCAGAATCAAAATTCAAACCTAGGTTCCTGATTCTAAAGCCCAAAACTCTCTTACTATAAAATATCTGCTGGGGACACAGGCACTCTGCCCATGTGTCTCTTGGCCTGCCCCTCCAAGCCTTCTATCTTTACTCCTATTTTGATCCCCACCGAAGTCCATGCCCCAGAGCAGCCTTACGTGTCAATGATGTACTTGATGTTGTCATGCAGCGTGATGTCATCCCGGCCCTTGTAGGGTTGGATGTGGAAGGCCACCTGCCACAGATAGGAGATACTGGTCACGTGAGTATCTGTCCCGGGGTCACAACCTATAAGGCTGATGCTCCAACGATGGCCTAGAGGAGAGGCTGAGTTCAGGAGAGGGTCGGCAATGGTGGGCACTATAGACATAAAACAGCCACTGCCCTCAGGGCCAAGAAAGAGCAAGAAGTGTGCCCACCTCCCACATCTGGGCATCACTTTTTTGGGAGGAGGGGGAGAGTCATTCTGTTGGGCTGTGCCAGGAGAGCTAATAGGTTTAAACTTCTCTGCCAGTTCAAGTGATTGGAGTTAGATGCCTAAACTGTGGGAAGAATTATACTGAAGCTATTTCGATGGTCCTGGAGCTGTCCTCGCCCACGGTGCTATGACCTATTACCCATGTTGGTAATAGGAGTGAGGCTCAGGAATAGGAGTGAGGCTCTTCTTCATTGATGTTCTGCCACAGGAGAGGAGAATGACTTATTTAATTGGTGCATTTGGGGAAAATAACCGGACATGCTTAGCTCAGCTCCCTCACTCCTCTGGAAAGCAAGCTTAGCTGCTGAGATCAGGTGTGCTCTGCCCCCTGAGGCCCAGCACTGCCTCCCAGTAGGAAGCCAAGGCTGGAATTGTTTGTGGGCCCATTTGGTTCTTGCCTGCCCTCTATCAAACATCAGGATCTCCAACTTAAACTCTATTGTTTTGATATTTAGTGTCCCATTTCTCCTATATTTATTTTCCCAACTTTTTTCCCAGAAAGTTCTGAAAACTAGAGTGACATAGGCAGTATTTATTAGAACCCCACCCCCAACACACACTTGCTTCTTATTTGCCATAGCTGGGCTCATGCCAAGAACTTGGGTGGAGGCGCTATCCCTATGGGCAGAAGAGGGAAAACCTCCAGAATGGGCCAGAGGGCACTCGATCTCTTCTTGAAGACTCACCTGGATGTTGTACTGATGGGCGGTGTCCAGAATGGCGGGCACCAGGTCATCGGAGGGTTCCCCGTTATCATCCGCCATGCCAGGGGGATACCAGGACAGGACCAGGACGCCTGAAACACAGCACAAGCTACTTCAGTGACACACAGCATCCCCGCAGCGGAGCTGTTTCCTCACAGACCACCTCCAACCGCAAAATGGTTTCTGAATGAAACCTTCCAGCAAGGGCTCCGGCCAGGTTCACTTCCTGCAGCTCAGATTCCAGAGCCCAGGTCCTGGAGCTGTCCTCGCCCACGGTGCTGAAGCGCAGCGTCTGGGGCGAGCTGAACATCAGCCTAGAAGGAGCCTGAGGAAAGCCTGGGTGGGGTCCCACCTTTTGCTGATAGTAGTAGAACAAAGGGAAATGGGTGGACAATGCCACACCCACCCGGAAGGCACCGAACTATCCCAGGAAGAAAGGAGCTTTTCTTGGGTCCTGAAGGGAGATGAGCCCTGAGCAGAGAGGTCCTCTGATTCTTCTGGTGGGAAATCGCATTTGTCTAGCCTGTCTGCCACTCTAGACTGTAAAATCCCGAGGGCCGGACGTTGTGCTATTTACCTGTGAATACCAGCCCCAGTGTCTCTGGCATTCAGAGTTTCCCTCACTCACTACCCGTTTCCAGATAAGCTGTCATGGACTGTAAAACCCAGAGGAACTAATTCAAAGACAAAACCTGACACAGGTGAGCCTCCCACCCAGCCTGCCTACAGGAGGCTCCCGGGATCTCCTTTCTGCAGAGTACTTTGAGGGAAGATCCCGGAACCCGTGCTGCACACAGACCAGAGTCCATCCTGCAGCGGGCAGGCGCCGGGAGGGCTGCGGCTCTCCGCCCAGGCGCTACCCTGAATGCAAGGCTCCTGCAGGTTATCCGTTCTGGGATATCCAGGCATCACTTACCCAAACCTAGAAATCCAACAGACATGAAGATCGAACCCGGCACAGGTCTGGCCCACCTGCCTTCCACAGGCTCCCCCAGCAGGTCTGCCCTCAGAAAGGGCCCCGAATAGCTGGGGTTCAGGAGGCAGAAGTGGGTGCGTGTGAATAACAGAAGGTGGAGCGGTGCCTCGTGGAAGGGGTGGAAGCCAGGCTGAAGGATGAGTGGACCAGAGGCCCGGGGACCGGACCACGTGGAGCTGCGGTGAGGAGGGAAGAGGTGAGGCTGGGGGACAGGACCCCTGGGGAGGGGCGGGGAGGGCTCACCGATGGCGGCTTCCTTCAGCTGGGTCATGTGCTCCCGCAGCACGTCGGGGTCCCGGGAGCTGTAGGGCCCCAGCTCCGGGTAGAAGCTGGAGCCCAAGTCGTCGGGGGGACTGTGGCGGCCGCGGGGGTAGCTGGCCGAGATCTTGGGGTCCCAGTGCGGCACCATGACGTGGTCCCAGTGGATGTAGCGGCCCTCGCGCCGCGGGCTCCCGTACCACGAGTAGTAGAAGGCGTGCAGGTCCGAGTAGACCCGCAGGCTCTGCCCGGGGCCCGGCTTAGCCCCCGCGGGGGCCGGCTCCGGAGGACCACCGGGGCCCGCGGTGCCGGGCGGCGGCGGCGGGGGCGGCGGCGCGGCGGGGGCGGCGGAGGCCCGGGAGGCGGGGGCCCGGGCGGCGGGGCCCCCCTCCGGGCGCCGCTCCAAGGACGCGAGCTCCAGGCCCGGGCCCAGCGCCGGGAGTCCGTCCGGGGCCTTGAGAGTGCGCAGGCCCATGAGGGTGCCGAAGGCGAAGAGCAGCACCAGGAACAGCGCGATGCAGGCGCGGCGGCGCCGCCGGGCCATGGCCGCCCGCCCTGTGCTCCTGGCGGCCGCGGGTCACCTCCCGGCGCGCCGCGCCATGGCCGCCCGCCCGCCCGGCTCCGGCGCCGCGCAGCCCCGCGTCCCAGGGAGACGGCGCGGCGGAGCGCGGGGCGGCGTGGGCGGCGCCGCCTCTCCCGCAGTGCGGGCGGGCCCGGCACACACAATGCGGGCGGCGCAGACCAAGCGGGCGCGGGGCGCGGGGGAGAGAAGGAAAGGGCCGCCCCGCGAGTCCCGGGCCAAAGCCAGCCAAGCGGCCCGCAGAGGACTGGTCGCCTTCAGCCTGGGGCAGCGGGGTGGGGCGCCCGAAGGGGAGAGGGGGGTGCCCTCCCTCCGGAGCCCAGGAGAAGGCCCGTCTTGGCGGCGGCGCTGGAGGGCGTGGAGCAAAGGGCGGCGGGGAGGAAAGTGAGCATCTATGGTCGTCCCTTTCCACGGTCCCCTTCCCCGCTGATCACTGCCCTGACTTCACCGGCCCCCTCCCCACTGATCTCAGCGCCTGCCCTTGATTGCCCCAGATCCCCCCTTCCACACACCCAGGCAGCCTCTGGAGCCCCGAGGTGGGGAGTGGGGAGGGGACCCCAGAGTCAGACCCACCCAGGCGCTAGAGCACAGCAGGACGAGGGAGACCAGGACTTGCACAAAGTCACACGGAGCAGGTCTAAGCCCAAGGGCCAGAGCTCTCTAGAGCTTTCTCACTATCCAGGCTGCCTGGTCTCAGGCCTGCTGTGTCCGGAGCCATCCACCCGTCAGTCCTTGCACAATCTCCTGGGGTGGTGAGGACTAAGTGAGAGAGTTAGGTGGAGCACGCTCCCAGGGCCTGGCAGAATTAGCAATCAATACCTCCACGGATCAGTTTGGCTCAGTGGATAGAGCGTCGGCCTGCGGACTGAAAAGTCCCGGTTCGATTCGGGTCAAGGGCATGTATCTTGGTTGCGGGCGCGTCCCCAGTGGGGGGTGTGCAAGAGGCAGCTGATCGATGATTCTCTCTCATCGATGTTTCTAGCTCTCTATCCCTCTCTCTTACTCTCTGTAAAAAATCAATAAAATATATTAAAAAAAAAAAAAAAAAAAAAGAAAGAATTAGCCCTCAATACCTCCACGGATCATTCTGGACTCCGAGCTCCAGAGCACAGGCCCAGGTTGTGTTTTCCTTTTTAGATTTCTAGGGCTGCAAGAACAGGGTCTGCTCCTCAGTTCCCAGGGCGGTTTATTGAACCAGACTTTGGTGTGATGTTCTGTAGACAAAGATACCTCTTTCAGTCCGCATGGATGGAGCTCCTACTCTGCATTATTCATTATTTAATTCATTCAGAAAATAAGTTTGTTCATCATCTGCTTCTTCACTGGTCCATAATGATAGCAACTGTGTTTCATCAGTTGCTCTATCTGTAGTGTCTAAAAACAGAGCTTGGCATAAAAGTATGGACCTGATGCTTCTTTCTTAAGTAAATGAATTGTAGGACGGCCAGGAAGAGGAGGCACAACGCTGAGAAATGTGGGTAGGTCTGGAGCCCAGGAAAGTAAATTTGAGACAATTCATGGTAGTAAATATGAATTAAGTGGAATGCTTTCAGCACCAAGTAATAGACCTGATTCAAACTGGCTTACTCACTATGGAATGTATCATGTCAGTGCAGGCAGCCCAATGGTAGGCCAGAGTGCATAGACATCTGTTTTTTGTTCCACTAATTTATGCATTCATTGATTGATTATTTTTTGTTGTTTTTGTGGTTATTGTTAATCATCACCTGGAAATATTTTTCACTTGACTTTTAGAGAGTGAAAGGGAGTGGGAGACACACACAGACAGAAACATTGATGTGAGAGCAACACATCAATTGGTTGCCTCCTACATGCCTCCCAACCAAGGCCAGGGATGGAGCCTGCAAGTGAGATACATGCCCTTGATCAGAATTGAACCTGGGGCTCTTCAGTCCATGGGCCAATGTTCTATCTACTAAGCAAAAGTGACTAGAGCCATTGGTTGATTCTTGTATGTGTCCTGACTGGGGATCAGACCCACAACTTTGTTGTATCAGGACAATACCCTAACTGAGCTACCCAGCCAGGATGAGATTCAGCATTTCTGATAAGATCTCAGGTGGTGTGCTTCTGGTGGTCTCAGACCACATTAAAGTACAGGAGGCTTATTACTTCACATTTTGAGGAGTCTTTAAGTAGGCTGGTTTTCAAGAAGTTAATTCAGAGGTTCAAAGACACTGGGGCAACAGATAATCTTGTCTATGGTTTCTTTGGACTGCTTGTCCTGGTCCTACCTGACAATATCCAGATATAGAAGAGGAAATGGCTGTCTTATAATCCTTTTAAAGAGTAGGATAAACTCTTCAGCAGCTCTCAGCTGATTTCCTATCACTTCTGATTGGCTAGAATTGTGTCATATGCTGCTGCTTAAGCCCATCCCTTGTCAAGGCCATTCAGAGAAGGGTGAATGAAATCAAAAGGGAGGAAATAAGTGTGAGTTGGGTAAACAGCCAAGAACGTCTCCCACTTCTGCTCGGAGTTTATTCTCTTCTTTTTCACGGTGTTGAGAAAGCCCCTCTTACCCCATTGTGGCAGGAGGTGGCAGATATTCTCTGTGGATGAGAGATCTCTGGAGTCCCAGGCTAAGCTTGATTACAGTATACCACACTTGAGTCCACCCCTTGCCCAATCCAATCCGTGTTGCCTGCTCTCTGCTCACAAATGAGTAGTCACACTCATCTCTGTGCGCCCGCCCCCCCCCCCCCCCCCGCCCCAATCCACCCTTCCTACAGTAATGCTCTGTGGTCTGCCCTGGCAGGACTTTTCTCAGCTACCTTTTGACATGATTTCCTACATCTAAAAAGAGCCCAAGTTGCATCAATCTCCTTTCACTGTTCCTCAAGCACTCCGTTCATGTCTGCCTGGAAGTCTACACTCGTCTCTTTTTCCTAATAAACTTTCTTTTTCCTTCCTGTTCAAATTCCACCCATCACTCAGAGCTCTTTCTGACATGGCTCCTCAGTCCCGATGGAGGAGAGCAGAAGCCCTGTTTTAGGATACTTGATTACCCACAACCACACTCCCATTCTCCCATCGGTCATGGGTATTGCCATTCCCCATTTTACTGGTGAAGAAAAGGCCGAGAGAGGTAGAAAGAGACTGGGCTGCGGTTCAAGCCTACCTCTGCCTGTGCTCTGAATCACTGTGCAATACTACCTCCTGAACCTGGCACAGTAACTGTTAGGCGAGTGGTTTATGACCTGTTTCATATACTATGTTAGTGGCCTCCTGACCCCAGCTGACCATGCCTGAGGTTTGGGGAGCAGGAAAGTACCCCACTAATGAAAACCCACCTGTGCCTTCAGAGACACCACAACAAGCCACTGTCATGGGTGGACCAGAGTATAAGGGGCAGTGGACTCAGTACCACAGTCAGGAAGTGTGAGGAACTACCAGGAGGCACCACCGGAAGTGCCGGAAGTGGGCAGCTCTGGGGAATGAAACTCAGGAATTGTGGAGAGAGGCAGGGAGTTTCTCTTTTTATGGTAAGCCTCATAGTACATTTGACTTTTAATTCTTCTACATGCAATATTACTTTGATGAAAAATAACTTTAACCAAATTCAATGAATACATGAATGACCCTTTTAAAATCCTGAATGTGGCTGGGACCGATTTGGCTTAGTGGATAGAACGTCGGCCTGCGGACTCAAGGGTCCCGGGTTTGATTCTGGTCATGGGCACGTACCTTGGTTGCGGGCACATCCCCAGTGGGGGGTGTGCAGGAGGCAGCTGGTCGATGTTTCTCTCTCATCGACGTTTCTAACTCTCTGTCCCTCTCAATTCCTCTCTGTGTAAAATCAATAAAATCAATATATTTTTAAAAAAATCTTGAATGTGGAGAAAAGAAGGAAATAGATGACAATAGCCAATACTTACCACAATAGGTTTGTAGTAAGTATTAAGTAAGTATTAAACAGAAGGAAAAAAAAGCATTGAACACATTTGACACAGAACCAGCGGCAAGAATTATTATGTTCATTAGACTTAAGAGATGTCATTGTAAGGACAGGCTTTGATAATTAGAGGTCACCCTGGTCTCCATCAAGACAGAACGGTGCTACCTTCTACCCTGACCCTTCTGCCTCTTCTTCTCCTCTAGATTTTAATTTCAACCCGATCCACCAAACAGACTAATTCTCCTCACCAGACTCTCTTCACTTATCCATACCCCTTCCATCATCCTTCCACTTCAGCCCAACCCTTAACCCTGAGAAACAGGAGCAGTGAAATAGACAATCAGGCTTTATAGTTCAGAGGGGAAAGTAATTGACTTCCCTGAGGCATTTATGTTTCTAGGAAAGTGAGTTTGGAAGGAAATACTGAGTCATGTTATTCAAGTCCCATTCATCCAGCCATTCATTGCACATTTACTGAGTGCGTGCAAGGTGCCAAGCGTAATTCTAGGTACTGAAGATGCAACAACAAACAAGATAAGTAAGCTTGTGTCTCCATGAAGTTTACATACAATGTTACAATGACCCCAGAGCAGGTCTGCTGGCAGGCTGAGGCCTCTGGCAAGACAGTCACTTCCATTTGCTGCTGATGAGTTTAATGCAGTGGAATTAAAAAAAAAAAAAAAAAAAAAAAAAAAAAAAAAAAGACATGAATTGGGTGCCTATTCATTCACAGCTCCCTGCTTAAGGGGGGTATCCTTATACCATGTGACCCTGTCCTAACCACAGCTTTTTGGGTCAGTAACAATCTGACTCAAGCTAGGCTATTAGATTCTTTGCCAAAATTAGCTGTGGGGAGTGTGAACGAAAAGAGCCACATGCTAACCTGACAAGCTCAGGGGAGGCCTGCATGGCAGAGACCTAAAATAACCACAAAAGATGGTTTGAAAATTAAATATCTAACTACTAACGGGTTATAGTGGGTAGTCATGTTCTAGACTGATATGACAACCTGACAAAGATCAACTTAGATCTTCTTTACTGAGCC